ATTATCATTATAAATTTATGCTAGTGGAATAATTAAATTAATTGTTTCTAATGTTTAGGCAGATAACAAGGATAAATTAACATTTGATAAACTATATGACAAAAGCTCCAGACCTTCAGGTTTAAAATTAAATGAAAATATATCATGGTTATTTCCAATGGATTATGTCTCATGGAGGATGTTTTAAAGGCTTAACAAAGGAATTCACTCTTTAACCAGTCTGAAGGTTCTTATCAGTTCTCACCTTACCAGTTTGATGAAATTTTTAAAGGCTGAAGTGGAAGGTGAGGATAGATTAAAGTTGGCATGTAATGGACTCGACAGTGTTAATCCTAAAGAAGGATATCATGATAAAGCAAGAGGTGAAGCAGAAGGCAAATTTAAGAAACAGGCAAATGTTCCAACTGCCCCAGCTTTTCTTAATACTAAGGAACTAGCTTGTATATTTTGTAATAATATGCCTGACAATAAAAACCATTACGATGCACATTCATTATCCTTTTAATGGAAGTGTTTCTAAAGTTAAAGAAAAAACAAATTGTTTAAAATGTTTAGAACCAAATTATATGCCAAAGTTCTGTAAACAGTTTGTTAGGTGCTTTGCTTGTGGTAAAACACTTTACTTATTTTGTGTCCAGAAATTAATAACAAAGTGAAACCCCAAATAGAAAGGCCAACAACAGACAACTTACACACGTACACAACCATGCAAACTTGTACAACAGAAGTATCTTTAAAGACTATGTGGATAATAATAGATGGTGTCAAAATGTATAAAGAAGTTAAGAGTACTCTTAGATTGTGGTTCCCAGAAATCATATATTTTAGAATCATTAACCACAGATTTGTAAAAACCAATCACCTCCAAAGAAAATGTTATCTTGTTTTATTTTGGGGGAACCAGAATAGAGTCAAAAGTTGCATAACAAATATCAAGTAAAATTATGTTCATCCAGTCCAGGAAATTTTAAAACTTGAATTTTTAGTTCAGAACGCAATATGTGGGGATATACACATACTGCATTTTGATCACAATATGTGGGTGCCCAAGGGTGCGATACTAAAAGAGTAAAAACAAAACAACATTCGGTTGACAGATTTGGGAACAGATTATCCAAAAAATCGAAATGCTCATTGGGTGTGATGTCTATGGAGGAATTCTTACAGGCAAGTAAAACAATTAAAAGAAGTGTTGACAGCAGTTTGTATAAAACTAGGTTGGGCAGTTTATGGTGCATCTGATGATTTTGTTAATCACAAAGATAAAAATGCGTCAACTTTGTGTGCAAGTTTAGCGATCTATGAATTAAAAATCTCCGATCTTCAGAGCTTAGACATGATTGGAATATTAGATGCTTAGCAAAATTAATGCTGAGGTTTAAATTACCCATGAACAATTTTTAAACTCTTTTATGAGAAACAAAGATGGCCATTACTGTGTAGGATCACCTTGGTCAGGATATAATTAAGAATTATCCTCAAATCACCACACAACAGAAAAAAGTTTGTTTAATGTTACCCGAAAACTTAAGTTTCTGCATAAATATGAAGAATATGATATAGTTTTCAAAGAATGTAAGGAACAGGGTGCAAACCTGATGATGAACTGAATTTAAGGACTGCTACTATTGCCTTCCCTTAAAGATTGCTTAGTTAAAGGGCCAAATTTGTCCTTTAATTTTGTCAAGATTTAAAGAAAAATGCACTGGCATTACTTTTGATATCCAACTGTGCATTATTACAGATAGAGTTACGAAAAGATAGGGAATTTTTTAGATTTTTATTGTGAAAGAAAGATAATGTGGTTAAGGTTCTCCATCATATACAGGTAGTTTTTGGGGTATAGTCTAATTCTTTTCAACTGGAGTTAATACTTCATAGCATTTGTCATAAGTACCGAAGGAACAAAGTTCCATTGCTCAGAAATTAGACAGATCCTTTTATACTGATAAATTGCACAACTTTGGTAGGTAACAAAAAGAAGCTTGTGAATTTTGTGAAATATTCTACTGAAATATTAGCTGATAAGAAAATGGACCTAATGCATGTGAGCCTATGGTCCAGTAGAAAAAGATGGTGAGTTGTTAAGCACAGAACCCCCACTGGAGATTCCTATACCAGTTTTAGGGATTATGTGAAACAAAAAAGAAGATAACATTTTTATTGAAATTAAGACTGCAAAGTTTTCTGAGAATTTGCCTAAAAGAAAGGTTTTGTCCCAAATGCAGACAAAATTTGATTCTTTGGGTCTCTTGACACCTTCTTTACTATCTGCAAAGTTACTGCTATAGGAAATTTGGATGATAAAAGTAGACTGAGATACTCCATTACCAAAAAGTGTTAAAAGTAAATTTTTGAAATGGTATATTAAACTAAATATTCTGAAAAAATGGAGAATACAGCGGCATGTAAGTTCCTGGTCACTTTGTGTATTTTGTGATGCTTATGCTGTATTCTCCATTTTTTCAGAATATTTAGTTTAATATACCCTTTCAAAAATTTACTTTTAACACTTTTTGGTAATGGAGTATCTCAGTCTACTTTAATTTTTTTTGAGGTGTGAAGCTGAAATTTTATAGCATTTTAATGAAAAAAAGTGATTTTTGAACTGCAAAAAAGTGTTCTCTTATAAAAAGGATACAGTCAAAAGTCGTTAATCTGGACTCGTCGGGACTTCGGCGATTCCGGATTATCGATTTTTCTGGATTATAGATCATCAATTTAAATCTGGTAAGATGGCATGCAGAAATTACAAAATTAATAATATGAAACTGTAATTTATGAAATAAAGAACAATTATGATCTAAAGGGTATCAAAATTCACAAAAAGAAAAAGCTTAATATTTATTTGTTTACTTTATTAAACATTTCTTTCAATGTAAGTTGTTTAAGTTGCTTCGTTTCATGTGATAATAATTTCTCTTTAATTCTATTAAACAGACATAATTTCTTGTTCAGTTACAAAGTTCCGCTGTTCAAGTCCTAAAATTGCTGTGTCGAGAATACCGACTAATTTGTCAATAGAAATTTTTTCGTTTTCAATAACCTCTGTCACTTTCTTCGCTATCGGAAGCGAATTATAATGACAAGGAACTTGATTTAAATCATATCAAAGACGGAGTACATCGAGATGAAATACTACATTTAGTAAGGAATTATAAGCCAAATAAAATAAAAACATCTGCCCTGAAGATAAGGACAGTGCTGACAGATCAACTTCCAATTCATTGCGCACCGTGACATTCCTCCCGCCGAGCAGCGTGAAATTGATAAACAGGTTTCGGATTTCAAAACATACTTTCGTTTTAGATCCTTTACATATTAGCAAATATATATCAGAAATTCTATTTGATATAATCGAAAGTTCAAGCTTACTTTTATAAAATTGCTCTAACAGTCTGCAAAAAATTATAAGCCGGATCCAATTCGAAGATTAAGGAACAACACAATCTGCAACATTAACTGAATTAGATAATTTTAGCTTAGCTTATACCGTTCGTTATACATTAAACACGCATGCGTAAACGTTTTACGCGCATGCGCACATGCATATTCGCAGCCGTAAAGGTCTTATGCGCACACGTAAACGCCTATGCGCGTGCGTCATCGCGACGCATACGCAGAAAGTTTGTAGCTTTGAGGTCCGGATTATGGGTGTCCGAATTAACGACTTTTGACTGTATTTGCAGAGAATCCAAACAGAGTACTGGAATCTGTATAGAGACCCAATGTTTTGTAAAATTCAGCATTCTTTTCAGAATACTTTTTATGATATGTAGGAAAAGGAGATTTGTAATTGCATTCATAGCATGACTTACAATGTGTAATTAGGTATTCATATTTAAAAGGAACAACATTCCTACAACCACAGATCCTTTTTTTTTTTTAATCTAGAAAGACAAAAACGTTTCGTTTAAGACATCTTAATAACATATTTTTATATGAAGAAATCCTCTGTTGCTTTCAACAAAATACTCATTAACATATTAACCTTCTTTTGCTGTACTAAGATGCCATTTGAGAGTTTTCTTTATTTTACATAACAAATTATTTTAATTTTTGTATCTATCCTGAACCTCTCATTTTCTTGCCCGGATGCAAATTTAAAGTTAAGTGAAGAAAGTAAAAAGTCAGACAAACCCTGTAGTTTAGTCAGACCATGATTTCGTCAGGCAGCGCACATTACTAGTTTGTCCTTGCTGTTATGTTGAGTTTTTGATATGCCTTGTGGCCATTTAAAGTACATCGTTGGGTAGGATGTTGAGTCAGCCTAGTTAACCTTAAATTAAATCATTAGTACAGTACTACTCTTTATCTTTGAATTTATTCGTGAACTATTCTTAAGTACTACTCTTTATTGTCGGTGTTATTGTAAGCATGAAGTGTGTGCATTTGTATTAAGAGTTTGACAGATAAATAAATGGTTATTTTACATTTCTTATGTGGTGGTATTCTTTTACGCCTGTGTGAGAAGTCGACAGGTTCCCCCGTAAGATCATTTTAACTGTATGTTAGGCAAGAAGGTAAGATCTTACAACATGAAAAGTTCACTTTGGCTATGCTAGCATGATAATTTTGTTGCCCTTTACAGATGGAAGTCATGATGCTATTGAAAAATGTGAAAATGCTACAAAGAAATATACTATTTAAATTGGTATTTGATGCATTGTTATCGTTCAGTAAATAAGTGAACGATCTCTGGGCTTGTTTGTTTACAAGAGGTATTTTATTTTAAATACAGTTTGTTTCCAAAGCAACATCTCCCCTTTTAAAGGTTAAAAATACTTTATTTGTCCTCTAAATTAAATAACGTATAATATTTGGGCTACAAACAACATAAAATAATAGACGACATGAAATAATAGATATTACTCACCACTTAATTCCAAATCATAATTAAAATCATTTCATGCAGTTTATAGAAATCTATGTGGTAAATATTAGTCTTTGAAATTTATATTTTTATGTAAAACAATGATAAAAAAAAATAGATTACATACCATGAGTCCTACCCCAGGATCATCTTCAAGAATACAAAACTCATCATCAGTACAATAAAGATCAGATTCCTGCACATTCGGTTTTTGATTTTTCTTACCATTTTTCTTATCTGAAAGAATTATAATATAATGTTAATCCATAATAGAAAAAGATAAATAATGATATATTGGGTAATCTGAAAATTTCTGAACTTTTTAATGATAAATGCAAATGAAGGAGTATGAGCAAGGTCTGGTAAATATAGAGGATGACACAAAACACCCCACTAAATAAATCTTGTCTGACATCTGCTGAATTGTGGGGCTGAGCGCTGTCAATATAGTTGATAACATCTCAACAATTAGTTCTAGGCATTTTGCTTTAATTTTTGCTTTTGAAACTTCCATCAAAAGCATATGGAAGTCCAAACGTTTTCTGAATTTATTGTCTGATTTGGTGAGAATTCTCATAGTACACAATTTCTTTGTAGTACCATAACCTATGGACTTTATATTGTAATATTATTGTAGATTATCCACTTCTCATATCCAGTAATAAGCTGTTTAGAAAAAGTTGCTTCTTTATTTCTTTTCAGCAAAGCATCCCATGCTGAAACTTAAGCAAGCATAATTTTATCTGTTAAAGTCTGGGTTACCCATACATCATAGTGGCCTACATACTCAGTCTTCTTGAAATAACCACATACTGTCATTTTTGGAATATTTAGTTTATCTCACAATTCTTGAATTATGGAATTTTCAATTACAGTTTCTTTGAATAGGTCTTTTTTTATAGAGGATGGTCGTCCACAGCAGGCATCACCTTCAAGGTTGGATAAGTAGAAATTCCCACATTTAAAATCCACTTCGATCAAGATTTCTCCTTAGTAGCTATAACACAATAATTAGAAGAAAATAAACTTGAAATATTTGAAAAATCGCAGAATTTGCCAGATGATCGAAATAGTACTTCATGCAAGTCAAATTCTAACATTCAATCACATTATGAAAAATTCATACCATTTCTAGAGTAGTACAGATACACAATGAGCTATATATAGAGAGTGGGATAGGATTAAAGACATACACGGACTTAAAAAAAAAAAAAAAGCGGGGACAGTTCCACACCTTCTATTCTACTCCGCTGATTGATAAAATTCGACTTCCATTTTTCATGTCTCAAAAGCAAGACATATATATATATTGCATTAATACACAGCATTGTTCTAGCATAAATATATTAACACGAAATCAGATCTTTTCTGAAATGACATGCTAATTTTCTCCCATATTTTGATTCCACACCTCAAATTATATGAAGATGCCAAATTTTGTAGAAACTGTAGAAGCATACTGTTTTAATTAGCAGTCAAAATTTTACACCTGCACATATTTAATAATATTAATTTTTAAATTAAACTTATTTAGTTTTTTTTTTCTTTTATAATTTGAAATTTAGGTTAATCCTAATAAAATTCACATATTTTTTTCTGATTTATTTTTAAAATTTATGTTTTCCAGTAACTTTTATATGTTAAAAAATTGATTTTTAACCTATAAATTTTTACTATAATTTCAAAGTAGATGTATTTCTAGGCACCCTGCAAAAAATTACTTTTTTTAATTAAAATTTCTGAAGGCATATGGAAACTTATATATTGGTGCATTTTGAAATTTAGCAAATTTGTTAAAAGCAGTAATTTCAAATGTGGTTTATACACTTTGTTATGACCTTCAATGAATTCCAACAATTATGTAGAATTTTAAATTCCCAAAAAACTTTTATTGAGGATTCTTCATATAGAATTTCTTTATTCTCATTTTTATTAATACTGCCTAATCAGTATTTATTAATAATACATAAAAAGCTATTTTTTAAATTTATAAAGAATATTAATCAAAAGTTTAGGGATTTCCCCCCTTTATATGAGCAAATTTTTACCTTTGCCATTTCATCACTTGCTATTTATTCTATTTAACATCATTTTATACCCCCAAAAAAAACTTATTTACAGATTTAAAAATTTTGCATTTGATATATGCATTCAATACTACTCAGTATGTCAAATAATATGGCTAAAATATTATAAATAAAAGAATTTATCTTCTCAGGAAACAGAGTGCAGAAATGTTTAAGAGTGGCAAAGGCAGCAAATAAAAATGATTCTGAAGTTGTTTTATGGCCAAAGATGGCATCAACATAACTTTCTTAAGCAAACTCTTGTTTATATTTGAAAGGGTTACTAATTAATATCAAAGACCTTTTTTAAGAGCAAAATATATTTTTATGCAAAATACATAGAATTTGCAAGCAAACATATTTTTAAAAGTCAACTTGTGATTTCTCAACAACTGAATTCTAATCATTAGTAATATTATAAAGAATGATTATTGTTACATTTATTTTCATATTACTATTATATCTATTATATTAAAATTTATTAAAATTCTTCTTGTAAAATAATTTCAAAAATTTAAAAAGTCGCCCTGCCCTGAGAACATACTGCTAATCTTTTAACAATCAATGTTTTAACACATGTACTCTTTCCATTAACTCTGCCCAAAAGTACAAATTACGTAAGTTTAAGTAACGATTGGCAATCTAAATTCAAAAAGAGAGTATTCAACCACTGGCTCTCTGTATCTCTCATATTCCTCCCAATTGTCTAACTATACGGTGAGGTATTTAAATATGGCGAAGCACATGGAAGGTATCAGCCGAAGGGGGTAATACCTTCACCAAGGACTTTTATGATGGAAAGGCACTTGTCTTCATGTTAGAAATATGGAAAATCATGAAAAACAACTTGCTTGTTTGCTTGAGTTGGACTTCAGGATAAACTACCAGCAAGAAACAGCTTAGACAGTGGTGAACCAAATTAGGAGCCAGGTTATTGGATTCTATTTTACTATTTGATTTTCATGTATTTGAACTATTATACTCTCTGCAAACAGCAGAGTTTTGTTAACACATTAGTTCTTAACTGCCAGACCATAATGCAAATGAACATTTAGTTACATTTGCTAGTGTATTTATAAGGTGTTCTTGGAATCTAAGCTAAAGGCAGAATAATTATCTCTTCGCATTACTTACCCTGGGAAGATTAAACAGGTGTTTAGATTAACTTTTTCAGTGGGCTCGAAAAATAGTTGTGTTCCTTCACTGGGGGCTCTTCGCTCAGCAGTTAGGGAAAGGGGGTAAAATTTTTCGGATCGAGTCTTAATGACGAGGTGATTAGTGCTCTTTTGTTGGCAGGCAGAGAAATGGTCAGCATTTATTTTTGGTCCAGTTCCAAAGCTCTAGGTGATAGAATGAAGGAAGTATTCTAATCGCTTTCACACTGCAGATAGATGTATGCAGTTTTCCCACGAAATGTAATTTATTGTTTTATTTTCAGACGAAATGTTTTATGCTACAACTAGACAATTTTGTTCATTTTTTGGTTAAAATAACTTTTTAAACTTGCACATAGGTTATATATTGAAAAATAAGCAAAGTAATCAGAGTTACCTATATTGACTTGTCAAAGTATAGAGAATTTAGTGATTTAAAATATTCAAACATATCCTTCAAACAATATATAGATTTTCATTTTAAGTATTATAATTATCCTGATATTGAAGAGCAAATTAAATACAGTTTAATTATTACAAGTGTCAATTGGAAAGCATTTTCGAGTTCCCAAAATGATACAAACCATGCAGCCATTGGATTTACACTTCTGTAAAACTCATTTCTGGAGAAAAAGAAATTGGTAACTGTGTTTGTGCTGCATAGAATCATTATTGAACAACACCAATAAACATGCACTAACAAAAATTTACGAATGCACGAGGTAAGAATTCTTTTAAATAAATTTTTCTTCCATGTGACGTTGCAAATAGCGTTCCCAGGCTTGATCTGCCTTCATATCAGGGATATAAGATTTTAATTTTTTTAACCGCTTCACAGTTTTGGGTTCGGTAAAGAAATGCAGGAGCAAACGCTGGAGGTTGAGAAAATAATATTGAATTATTACTGAATAATTATTGAATACATTAAAACTTGTTGAGTTTCAATGCATTCAATAACAAAAATTTAGGTTTACCACTTAGAGATATTATATATTGCTTTTACCTTAGAATAGAAGGGAAATAATTGTTCGTCGATTTATATTGTTGCTGCATTTTTTCTTTAAAAGCAAAATTGCATATTCAGGAACCCATTAAAATTTTAAAAAATAAAGATTTTTGTCGAATGGAGAAATATTTCTTTAGTTTTTTATGATCTACATTTTCAGAAATGCTAAAATCGCCTTTGAGGTATCAGATTGTTATGCGAAATTTTCAGATCTCGAGCTTTTTATTGTTGCTTTCTTTCAGAGTAATGAAGCTCGGAATGAAGATTCGTACTGCGTCGATGAATCTTAATAAAGAATCATACTGAGGTTTAAATTCAGGGAACTAAAAAATAGTACACATCTCAATTACCCTACATCCTTAGTATCCTACTATATCGTTTGATTCCCTCCAAAATACAATTCTCATGTAAAAATTAATTACTTTCTGAACACTATCTGTGACTGAGTGGTCAAGACTGCTGAATACTGGTAGTTCGACTTGGGTTCGAGGCCAGGCGATTGAGTTGGCTGCATGGTTGGTTTTCGTTGTTTGTCCCATCCGAAATGTGAATACGAGATAGTTTCCCTTAAAAGTTCTCCTCGAAGGCATCCTTTTTGATAGGTAGGCATCCTTTCCCTTAGAAAGGCAGCCTTCGTGTGTTTTCCCATGTGTAATTAATCTAAACTTAACGTATCTACTTTCTGAAAGAACTGATACAGATATCATCTTATAGATGCAAACATATTACAACGGATAAATTAAAAAGTTTTGAAGCTTTTTTAAATTTTGAATTATAAAGTGTTCTTTACTAACTGCTTTAATAAAAATTCGTGTTTCATTTATCGCACAGTCGAAATTAATTTTGTCATCAAAATTATTCATAAAAGGAAGGGTTTCTAAATATAGTTATGAGACGCTCATAAACAGAGCTTTCTTATTTCGAATATAATTTTATTTTTATTCGTCTTATTAAAGAAAAGATTATTTGCCTAATCGAAGTGGGCTTTCGTGGAGGACGTTCGAAAGAAATTGGCTCATATACATGAACGAATACGAAAGGTTCATGCAGTCAATCCGTTCTTCGAAATTTGAACCCGGGTTGAATTATTAGTGTTAAAGAAAATTTATACGCTCAGCCACTAGTTATAATTTAGAACATAACAAACCAAAATTTCACTCAAGTAAACAGTAGTCGTGGAATGTATGTCATTTAGAAATAACATTAAAACAAATTTTCATCACCTGAAACGTTTATATTCATTACTCTTCCTTTACATGCACATTAAAAACTGGAATATATTGAAATAAACAATTACAAAAAGAATGAAACAAAGAAAATTTCCTTTACGTTTAGCCATTATTTAATACCGAACTCGAAAAAATGATAAATATCAACTCAAAGAATTTATAACAGTATTTGCAAAAGAAAAAAAATCTAAGAAAGATCTTAAAACGCAAACGCGCGAGAATCGAGGTAACAAATTAGTCTTTTTATTTTCTTCTCTTGAAAAAATATTTCCCAGAAGACACCGAATTCGCAAACAAGCCATATGGGTTCAAACTACGAACAATTACCCCTACCCATTAGCGGAATCCCTCAAAAGAACGCACTCGCTAGGGTGTCGTAAAATAGTCGTCAAGCCTTAAGCGTTAGAATTCCTACCCCTGCGACCAAGGAAAAACTGTCCCGGGCCCCCAGTTGCCATACACTTTGCTCAGGACATATATGTCCCAGCCACCTGGCAAATCATTATTTATTATTTTTTGCTTTCATCACCACATGATTCAGGACATATATGTCCCAGCCACCTGGCAAATCATTATTTATTATTTTTTGCTTTCATCACCACATGATTACCAATAAATTGTAGTTTGAGAAACAACTCCTACAGAAATGTTACAACAATTTTTTTTCTAGTTTTAATTTTTAACATTAGCAACTGAATACCAAAGGCCATGGTAGCCTCTTATGCTGATATTACGCTTGGCAATGATTAAAGACTTCAGCTAACTGAGCTATGAAGTGTTGTCAAGGAGAAATTTAACAGAAATTTCTTTTCATTTGCAAAGAAATGATTTTGTGAATGATAATGATAGTCTAAGAGATTAGATTTAGTGTTATTTGAATTGAGAATAACTAATTTGTTATTAAGTCCAGGGTTGGCAGCAGAATTTTGGGAAGGCAAAATTTTTAGAATTTACAGAAGCAATTTGTACTATAATGAGCTTTATATTTATAATTTTGATTCTCTCAAGGTTAGAAATACTTCACTATTTCAGAAATCACTATTTCATATTTTAAATTTTATAATTTCTACATGTCATCTTACTAGATTTAAACTCTTGATCTAACATCCAGAAAAATCTCAAATATGCAATCACAGAACAGATAAGTCCAGATCTTAGACTTTGTACTGTATATATACTAAGTTACACTTCTGAGATATTAAAAAACGTATGTTGAATTTTGTCAATCAGCTTAGTAGAATAAAAGATATGGAATAGGATTTTTTTTTTTAAATTAGTGTACAAGTTAAAATAAAAATGCAGTTTTAATATTAGTAAGTATTCTCACAACAAGCACAAAATAAGAAAAATTCAGATTTGAAGCTACACTAAATTGCTATCATAAACCATCTTATGCATCTTGAAACACCACACCTCTTGAAATCTATCTATATAGTAACAAAATTAAAATAGCAATTAATTTTATTGTAGACAAGTAGCAGGATATATAGCAAGATTAGAAATAAACTGCAACGTGAATTACCAATTTTTAATACTTCTGTACAATTCAAAACTTTGTACTATGCATTATTACCTTTACTTTATTATTAACTTTATATCTGTTTCTTTATATTTGTAATATTTGTAAATTATATTTTTCAGCTAAATAATAAATATATAGAAGTCATTCTTGTAACAAGATATAGAAATACATTACAAAGGATTTCTATTTGCGATCAACAATTCATATTGGTACAAAAATTCAGAGATTTTTAAAAGTTTAACTAATAACAGGCTAAAACTACTGCTTAAGATTTTAATCAAATTTGTATTTTACTACTGGTTTAAAATATAAATTACTTGTTAATCATTCAAGTTAGAACCAAACATTTAGAAATAGATGTTACAGAATTTATACTATGTGCAAATTATACATGGTGCTGATTTATGGTCTCATCTGAATTGAATGTTATACCACAAATACATTTTGAAAAGAGCGAAACAAGTCTGAGGATACAAAATCAGGCGAGTATGATACATGTGGCAACACTTATCATTCAAATTCAGTATAAGTTATTTCAATAATATTGGTCATGTGATTAAACTTGTGTGTGGTCTTAGCATAGCACGGTAAAGCAGCAAGTCTCTTAAGAATATACAGTTTCAAAAATCTATGGATAATTAAAAAAATGATGGAAAATAACCTTAAAGTCACAGACTTTAACACAAGTTACATGCTAACTTTAAAAATACCCGATACTAGCTAAATCTCGATTCCCCACAGTAAATGAATATTAACTTCATAATTTCAAATAATAGTTTTAGAAGATTATTAACATTATAGCATAAAAATCTATGATTACAAGATTAAATGAATGACATTTTAGATAGTGTCATCCATCCATATATCACTGTCAAATTTAGAAAAATATTACACAATCTATCCATTTTTCCATTCAATACTACAACAAAAAGAAACTATTGCTGCAATTTTTCTTCAAGAACATATTATTTTAGCAAACAGAAAGGCTGATATGCATGTGTTGTTAAAACATATACACATGCACAGAAGTGGAAATAGGACAAGTAATTATTGTCTATTGAGAAATATGCTACCTGAAATTTTAGCCTGAGAACATTCTTTCATTGCTTCAGCCATTAAGAGATGCACATCTTTTGTTTCAGTTTCAGTATTTATAGATTTACTAAGCTCTTTTATGTCTTGTATTACCTAATTTAATAGAATAAAAAAAATAATTATGAACTAAGAACTTTACAGCAATATATTTAACCAAAGAAATGAAAACAAATATTGAATAGGTTCGAGTGCCTCATTACCTGACTCGAAGACCTTTAACGGAAAAGATCCGTTAAGGGTCTTCGAATTAACCCAAAGAAAGAAGCTATTCCAACAGTCAGCTGTAATACAGTCTTCATGCGGGTAAGGTGAAATGAAATCAGATACAGCATCCGATATATATCTCAACCAGAGAATGGGCAAAATTTAGAGAACAAGGCTCATTCCTAATTAAAACTTGTACAATTAGATCTAGTTAATCCACGTGTCAGGGCGAAGCTGGCACGGTTCTGGTTAATCCACGTCTTAGATGAATCTGGTCAGACAACACTGCTCCCCTTTCCCAACTGACGAGCACTTAGCCGACTTAGGCTTGGCCACTACTAAGGCCGGAAGTGATGGCCACCTTGTTATGGAAGCGCCTAATAGGTGGGCTACCATTATTTCCTATGAAGGAACGGAGAATTACAGCCCTAACCACTATACCAGTGATGGCGAACCTACGGCACGCGTGCCACAGTCGGCTTGCAGAGCTTCATCAGGCGGCACGCGACTAATATTACTTCCTTAATCAATAATCACAACAAAATGATACTATATAATTTAAATAAGTGCTTTAGTCTGTTCTTACTTATCGCATAATGCCACTGGCATAAGGCCTAAGCCTAGATATAAGATTTTCATATATCGGCCATAGAAATTATATATATATTTATTGACCCAATTTATGACGTTTAAATTGTTTGGGCCAATCATATTACATGTTACATGGCAAAGAATACGCCAACTCAGCTTAAATGTTTGCTAAACGAATTGAAATTCATTGCAAACTGCCGGTGAGTTTTAAGGCTTTCATTGTTAAATAAGTTTTCTATAGTCCAGGTCTTGGACCCTCACAAATGACTCCAGTAAATGACTCCAGTAAAAAATGACTCCAGTAAATTACAAATGACTAGCATTGATAGTGGACGATCATTTCCAGACACCTGGACAGAATCATTTGCAGTTATCAAACACAATAGGAAAGCATTATGCATTCTGTGCGGGAAAAGTGTTGTGTGTCGCCCATTGTGTGTCAGACGGCACTTTTTTAACACCAACCACAAGATTGTTGCCGAATTTGTTGAAGCTGAGCGGAAGGTGTTTATCGATGGGAAACTGAGGAATTATATAATTACCAGATAAGTTGGTTTTTGCAATTATCTTTATAAAACAAATCATCCAACAATGGCCAGCTTTCAAATTTCACTGTACCTGGCAAAAGATGGTAAACCGCTCTCCGATGGAGATTTAATCAAAGGGATTTTGGGCACGCGGCTCCAAAAAGGTTCGCCACCACTGTACTATACCGTTCGATACTGAATCAAAGAAAATGATCAGAGTTTTCTTCGCTTATTTAGAAGAGCGCATGGTTCATTCAAGTCATCCTGAGATCAGGAAGCTGCAGTACAAAGGGCATTGAGCATTTTCATTGCTTGAGAATTCTGTAATATTTAAAAGAGATCGCTAACATTTATTGCATCTATATAAATTAGAAAAATGAACTTTTCTGTAGTTAATAAAAAAAATATGATTGCATCAATATCTAAAAGTATCTGCTGGGTCTTTGTCATAAGAACGGTTACTTAGAGACACAACTATGAAAGACCGTAAACAGGTGACTTCAAAGACTACCGAAGATTTGTTAGGAAATACTACAAGTAAGTTATCTATACCTGTACTTATGACTTTAACATTGTCAATTCTAATCACGTATCAGTACACGCATGTATATTTCTAAAAATAACATTTAACGATGCATATTAAATACATAAATTAAATATTTAAAAATAAAAAATTTGCTGTTTTTAATTTTTTGGGGTTTGACATTTTAAGGGCAATTAAACGTATATACTTGAAAAGTTCATTAGATAAATACTATGAGAAAAATGTGGAAACGAGATCTTTTTTTAAATATTCATTATTAAAAAACCCATTTTGCTATTTTTATGATATTATTCATTACAGTGATACTTTTTATAAATATTTTTAGTCGAAAGGGGCAATTTGCCCAGAAGGACTATTAACTTCGTTTTGGCATTTTGCGTTGAAAACTTTAAAAGGCTTTATCACTTTTCAAATCATCGCTACCGTATATTATCGGCCTGTCTTATATTTATAGAAATTAAATAATGAAGAATCTGAATAAATGTATGTATGTTTCTCGCATTGTGATAAAACAACTGTACCCAGAGCCATCAAAATTTGAATAACGCAATCTTTCATAGAATATGGGCATATGGAAGTGCAAATTTGGAAAAATATTCATTAGTTATTTTTTTTTCCCCAGATATATACATAAAGCCGATTCAAATTCCAAAAGTTAGATGGCTCACCCTATATTAGATAATAATCTAATAAAGCGTTTCCGAATAAGAACTTGAAAACACGTCATTTCCTCTTAAGAAACCTTCTGAAAATATTTAGAACCAACCATACTTCCGAAACTTCACGAACAAAGACGAAAATCAAATCAACGTTTAAAAGACCACCCATGGGGATCCAAATTTCTAAAAGTTAAAACTTTGCGTAAGGCAATTAACTAATTGTTTGTCACGACTTCATAAAACGACGTCAAAAGTTTAATTTAATAATTTAGAGGGCAGTTTCTCGCTGAGTGATGCTTTAATCCGCCTCTTCTGTCTCTTGGTGATTCACTTTACGTTACAAATTAAGCACTTCCGAGTTTTATTTTCGGCTCGAATTTACCATGTGAGCTATGGTGTAATTAAATTCGACGCATCCTGTCTAATATTAATCATTTCGCACAAAAACTAAAATTCATTTTTTTTTCAATATCTTTCCAAAAATGTTTCTTATGAGAACTTTGAATATAAAACTACACGAAGAAATGTTTAAATGTGCTGTATGGGGTTCTTTACATTTTCATTTAATTCACGAGCATTTACGAATTCTTTATTGGCTCGACAGCCCACAGTGGGCCTTGGCCTTCTCCAGGCATGTCTACTTTTGGCAACGGTTTTCCAGTTTTTGACTTTTAAAATGCTTAGGATCAATTTCAACATAATCGATCCATCTCACCGGGGGGGAGGGGGTCTAACGCGAGGTCTGGTTTCTATGGGCTTTACCAGAAAGATTTTCTTACAATACCGATCTTGCGTTCTGACCAGATGATCAGCCCGTTTAAGTCCCTGTAGTCTGAACAATTTTACTACATCAAGTTGTCTATAGGTCGCCCAG